CGTATGATTGTCTGAGGACTATTTATTACTGTCAAAAACGTATGATTGTCTGAGGACTATTTATTACTGTGAAAAACGGTCACCCAAGTCGCACGAGAAAAGGTTTACCTGGCGCAACAAAATATGCAGAACAAAAAAGAAAAGATATCCAAGTGTTCGACTGCGTGTTATGAATATCCGTCAGCGAGGGGGAAAAAAAAATGCCAATGTAACGTCGAGTAGAACGATCTGACTTGTTTACCGATTTTAATTCCGGGTCAAATCGGAGCAGGGAAACAAAAAGGGAAACAAAAAGAGACGGATCGCGGCGCGAGACGAGAGAGGAGAGACGGGACTGATTTTGTACCTCGTTATCGAGGTACAGCGGCCGCAGCGATGGTCAACGACACACTGCTTCTTTCTGCACGAAATCACTTTGAAAGACGTCGTTATCGCGGCCAGATTAGAAACGCGTCAAGTGAACGAAGCGTGTCAGGGAAAAAGCCAGAGGGAGAGGAATCTCTTCCGCCGGGGAAATCTATCTAGACGACGACGTCCCGCGCGTCACGCTCGACCTTACTTTCCATCGTTTTTCTCAACGTTTTTCAACCGTGATTTCAGAATTACGCACAAATTCGAATTTATATGGACATAATTGCCTTTGTGCGATCTGCACTTGGCGAACTTCGACCCCGAAGATTGCGATTCGAGCAAACAGCATTGCTGATAATTTACCCATTCTTTTTCGACTTCGCGTATGCAAACGACACGGCTTGTATGCAAACGAGTTGATCTGTATTCGATAAACCTGATCAAATGTCGCATAACGAAGCAACATTTCCATGCGTATGACGCACATTACACAAAGTATACAATTTAATGTTTACACGTACGCTTCCTACTCTATCGTCATTCTACTAATTGCCAATAATAAATGATATACTGCTGATCATCACGTGGAATCTAAAATGATCTAAAGTGGTACTCGCATGTGTCTATGGATGTATGTACGTGTCATGTTTGGAGAGACCTATCGTGCTTGAGATTATATATATATCATTACTAAGTACTTGTGTTTTCCAAGATTTTTATCGGATTTATAAATAACCACGTGTTATTACATCATACATAACGTGATAGATATTATGTATTTTTTTTTTTACAATATAATAATATTTAATGCTTATCAAAATTCCCTCATGCTCTCGATTGATGACACGTAAAGTTCCGACTATGTTCTTCTTAAGTTCGTATCACACTACACATTAGACGGCATCTGCAATAAGATTTTAATACTTAAAACTTGAATTTTAATCCTTAAGCTGTAAGAAATTGTACGACCAGTCATAGTTGATTATTTTCCTCATATGTGGCTGTAATTGGTCGATTTTTTACGGCTTAAGGCTTAAGTTTTACCTATGTCTTAAAATCTCGTTGTAGACGCCGCTTTAGGTGTATTTGCATTAGTGTTATTTATGTTATTCTATCCTTGTTTTACATCTAATGAACGATGAAGGTAGAATGATACAAATAACACTAATAACGTCTCCTCGAACGCATCTATTGTATATCCGGATTGGATTACGAACTGCTAATCGTTGTGATCAACTAATCAGATTGATTAATCAACGATTCGCAATTAATAAACCCAATCTGTATTTACAATGCATGATGTGATGCATGCTTTACGAAATGCAATGATTCTGACTATGCATTTTCGCAAATAAATTTCGCTCGTTTATGTTCTCGTAGAACAAACATGCGAATATCGGAATAATACGGAAAAAGAATTTCTCTCGTGGAAAGATTAATGCATAGCAACGAAGAACGGAAAACGGGAAAAATAGATTTTAGAAATTTCTCAAATAAAAATATATCTTTCTTTTTCGACACGTTTGGAGCTTATCTTTCATATGTAAACTAATAAAGTACGCTGGGGATGTATGTTCTCCAACAAATATAAACAGTGTCGCAAATCGTACAGTCACAAGATATTTATAGACTTTCACGTGTAAACGGATGATAAATTGTCAGATATGTGTATGAAATTTTTCTCGTTAGTCCATCAATAAAATTAACAATGTTACAATCTAATATTGGCTTAATAATATTAAATCAATTATTCGCTCAAATAAATTTGTGCGCAAACAGTACATAAACAGCATGGAAATTACAGTAAAAGTGAATATATATCAACAAAACAAATCCGTCGATAAAGAGGCTTGTCAGCAAAAAGGCTGACAGGCAAATAATCGAAAGTCATCGAATAATTCTTATTCCTACTTTTAACTTATAAATAATCCTCTTTAGGATTCCTTGTCGCGAACGGTTTACAAGTTGAAAGGTAGCTTATACAAAGGTATACAATAGGAATGCTTCCATAACGCTGTCCAAGTCTGATAAAATCCCTTTAAGCACGGTCTTCGGCGTATAACGCGTAATTCTTGAATAAATTGCTACGAACCGCCTTAACTTTTGTTTATTAATAGACTTGCTGTAATAACAAACAAACTTGAGGTCTGCCTGAATAATTAGCTTTCTGCTTAAGAGCTTCGATCGGTATTAAACACAAGGAGTATATTGCAAATACATTTAATTACAAATTTGTAATAAATAAATCGAGTTAAATTTTTTTAAGTTGATCATATTAATTTGGTCAAAAAATTGAATCTATATATATATATATATATATCATATATCTTTTTTACAGAGAAAGGAGGGAAGCACGTTCGTTTATATAGTGCAATCCATAAGGAATCTCAAATATACTGCAAGTACATTTGATCATAGATTTGTTAGGCAATAAATAAATCGAATAATTACTTTAAGATAATCATATTAATTGATCAAAATCGAATCTTTTCGGCATAGATTCATATATATATATATATACATATAATCTTTCTCATAGAGAAAGGAGCGAAATATATTCATTAATATAGTGCAATCCACGCATGTAAGCATATGTATCGCATATAAAGATAAATCTGCGATAGAGCATAAATCATACGACATGATAATACATCTAATCAAATGCCAATATCGGTATCCAGTATGTCCTTCTCATTATCAAATGCATTGTAAGCGCGGAACTATTTATTCGTTATTGTCAGCGATCTGTCTCGATTGATAGAGAAGCGTTTGAATACCTTCGATGGTTTACTTGGTCGTATCGATTTGTCTGTTACGTGACGCCAATCCCCATTGAACATTTTCTCTATTAGCTTTCATATTCACAGCTTGTAAACTATTCGCAACGAGAGAAACCCAGAGAGGATTAATTATTAGTTAGAAACAGACGTAAAAAAAGATAACTTTTGATTATCTGTTTATCAGTTATTCCTCTTTTCATTAATAGTTCCGTCTCGTTGATAAATCATTTTTATAATTTTTATATGACATACGTACGAATTATGTATTTCTGTATTATAAATCCAAGAAACTTCAACGCTCTACACGTTATAAATTACCAGTAGGTTAAGAGAGATAAAAAGATAATATAATATAATATTTTATATTTTTATATTTTTTATTTTTCATTTTAGATATAAAATATAAATCCTCTGCGCAAATCCATTTGCGACGATGACGACGTAGCGAAAAGTTGGTAGGTAGCAGATTGTGCTGGTTTTTGTTTTTGTTATAAATATTCTAATTATGTACTGATAAAAACTTTGGTAAAATTTGAATATGTAAATGTATTACACAGTTTTTGATAGCAGGACACCGTTCTTAGTGTAGTCTTTAGAAAGCTTTTATATAGCAAAATACTTGAAAGTATAATCTCCTTATCTTCTCCTTACCATTTATAAAGTTAGAAATTCTATGAAACGACATTCATGTTCTTCAGAATCAGATAATGTGAAAAAAGCAGATTCAGTTTTAACAGAATCTCAATTTAAATATTAAATAGAAATTAAGTAAAATATAAAAATATTTGATTTTAACGTTGACATTTAAAAAAAATTATAAAAAATCGTTAATTCATTAATTAATTAAATTTTCAGTTTTCTCCGATAAATTTACTTTAAAATGCGCAGAAGTTTCGTTATAAATGATCTTGATTCTAACACAATCTGTGCATCATTTATATATTTCGCAATAGAGATAACATATACTTGTTTAGGTTCCCCCATCATGCCGAATAATTAAAGTCAGATAAGAAAGCCCGGCACAACTCCAACACGAAGAATAACATTGTAGGCATTTCCGAGTAACCTTATTATACCAAATTGAATCAACTACTATTATAAACCGCGTAACACACACATCGACAAACAAAACACGAACTGCCGAAGATAAAAAAATGATTAGACGACCGAGCATAAGGTTAACGACATCCGACAAGAAGTTTCTGCACCCACGGAATGATATCGCGCGGTAGAAGAGTGGGATAAAGATAAAGATAGATAACTAGAGAGAGAGAGAGAGAGAGAGAGAGAGAGAGAAAGAAAGAGACAGATGTCAAGCAACAGAGGTGCACGCGACGCGTTTACGAAATGCTTCCCTCTTTTTTTATCCCCCTCATGCGAGCAGCATCCTCTTCAACGCGCGCTGGTCTCTTTAACTATCTCGTTTTTACCCTTTCCGCCGGATCTCCCATTTTCTCTCTTCTTCTGCTATAGAAAACGAGAGAAAGAGAGAGGAGAGAGAGAGAGAATTTCTCGCGTTCGACGGAAACCTGCGCAAAGCGACGGCGACGGTGCGCTCAAACGAGGAGCAGAGCATCGGGCGGACGCGCGGTGGCGGTTGGCGTCGTCAGTCGTAGCGAGCGAGCGTGGGAGAGTGTCAGATCGAGAGGGAGGAGGACCGAGGGAAGCTGCGAGTACCGGGCAAGAGCGAGAGAATACGCCGCGCGCGACAACCGATCGGAGAAAGAAGGCTCGGAGTAAAGCGGGGGCGGAACGGTGAAGAGAG